CACTCCAAGGGCGACCACGCTGGTATAATACAGGTACTTATTTAAGGTCATTGCAATATAATTGTCATTTGCTTGCCGATCATTCCGGCATGAAGTTAAAATGAAATAAAAGAAAACGAAAATTTGACTTCGTTTGGGAAAATGTAGCTGTAGCTTTTTATGTTCTCTGCATTCATTCATATTAGATATGTTTTTAGATTTTCTTTTTGGAGTAAAAAAACAAATGTTGGAAGAAACAGTTGGAAAGTAGAGGCTTGCTAATAATCGCTCGTATGCAGGTGATGCTTAAACCTCCGAGTGATGAGCCATTACATGGAAGTGCTGATGAAATTAAGTTAATTGACCTATCCGAGGTTGACATCCGTCTTCCTTTACTTGTTTATGTCTCTCGAGAAAAACGTCCTGGCTATGATCATAACAAAAAAGCAGGGGCCATGAATGCTCTAGTTCGAGCATCGGCTATTATGTCAAATGGGCCATTCATCCTCAACCTTGATTGTGATCATTATATCTACAACTCCCAGGCAATGAGAGAAGGAATGTGTTTCATGATGGACCGTGGAGGTGATCGTATTTGTTACGTTCAGTTCCCTCAAAGGTTTGAGGGCATTGATCCTTCAGATCGGTATGCCAATCACAACACGGTGTTCTTCGACGTTAACATGCGAGCCCTTGATGGGCTTCAAGGTCCAGTATATGTTGGAACAGGATGTCTATTTAGACGGATTGCCCTTTATGGTTTTGACCCGCATAGATCAAAAGAGCAGCACCCGGGTTGTTGTAGCTGCTGCTTTGGTAAACGTAAAAAGCATACATCGATTGCAAATGGCTCTGAAGAGCATAGAGGCCTAAGAATGGGTGATTCTGATGATGAAGAAATGGACCTATCCTTGTTCCCAAAAAGGTTCGGAAATTCTGCTTTTCTTGTTGATTCGATTCCAATTGCGGAGTTTCAAGGACGGCCATTAGCTGATCACCCAGCTGTGAAATATGGACGTCCTCCCGGTGCTCTTACCATTCCTCGTGAGCTTCTGGATGCATCAACTGTTGCAGAGGCGATCAGTGCCATTTCTTGTTGGTATGAAGACAAGACCGAATGGGGCCAACGGGTTGGGTGGATTTATGGATCTGTCACAGAAGATGTGGTCACCGGGTACAGGATGCATAATAGGGGATGGAAGTCCATTTACTGCGTAACGAAACGTGATGCTTTTCGTGGAACTGCGCCCATTAATCTCACTGATAGGCTACATCAAGTCCTCCGATGGGCTACTGGGTCGGTGGAGATTTTCTTCTCCAGAAATAATGCACTCTTGGCTAGTTCAAGAATGAAGATTCTGCAAAGAATAGCCTACCTTAACGTTGGAATCTACCCGTTCACGTCCATCTTCCTCATAGTCTACTGTTTCCTCCCTGCACTCTCCCTATTTTCGGGTCAATTTATCGTTCAGACTCTAAATGTCACTTTCCTCACCTATCTTTTAGGCATCACCATCACTTTATGCCTGCTTGCTGTTCTTGAAATTAAATGGTCTGGTATTGAATTAGAAGAATGGTGGAGAAATGAGCAGTTTTGGTTGATTGGGGGCACCAGTGCTCATCTTGCTGCTGTGCTTCAAGGTTTACTAAAAGTCATTGCTGGGATTGAAATCTCTTTCACCTTGACATCCAAATCAGCTGGTGACGATGTGGACGACGAATTTGCCGATCTCTACATCGTAAAGTGGACGTCCCTCATGATTCCGCCAATTACGATCATGATGATCAACCTAATCGCCATTGCAGTTGGGGTCAGCCGTACAATCTACAGTACAATTCCACAGTGGAGTCGCTTGATAGGTGGTGTTTTCTTCAGTTTCTGGGTTCTGGTTCATCTCTACCCGTTCGCAAAGGGGCTCATGGGAAGAAGAGGAAGGACGCCGACCATTGTTTTCGTGTGGTCGGGACTTATCGCCATCACCATATCTCTTCTCTGGGTGGCCATTAGTCCCCCAAGTGGTGCAAATGAAATTGGAGGTTCGTTCTCTTTCCCTTGAGATGTGATTGATATCAATCTAGCAATGTTCTTTAGTTCTTTATCTGCTGTTTCTGATGGGGGATGATGCCTCTTAGGCTGTGGTTTATAAAGCCATCGTTGTTGTTTTACTGCTTTGGAAGCCATGTCCTAAAGCCATTGCCTTGGGACTGTTTTAGTTAGAATTGTATTAAGAATAGAAACACATCATTTCTTCATATGTAACCATGTAGGATATCTGCAACTTTTATTATTTTATGATCATGTTATTCATTTTTAGTCTCCTTCCTATGATTCGATTGATTGAGAATGCTCGAATTAAGGAATGAATCACAAGGTGAATTGTAAGCCCCGACAGTAAAGGGACGAGCATTTTTCAGGACTAGCTTGCTTCCCATTGCTCGACAAACTTATTCAAATTCATATTATTTCTTGAATGACCGTGATACTTTGATATTTGTGTTTATAAGGAATGTTATTAGTTGCGTCTGTTAATGGAAATGTTTTTACACTCTTACGAGGAATGTTTCGTTCTCCTATCTTTTACCTATTGCATTAGCCTCACAATTTTAAAATAATATATTAGGGGAGAAGTTTTCATATCTTTATAAATAGTATTATTAGCCTAACGATTTTAAAATGCGCAGTTAGTGGAGATGTTTCTACACGTTTATGAGGAATGTTTTATTCTCCTCTCCAATCGACATGGGATCTCACAATTTTGAAAGTTTGAATTTCATCGTTATAAACGTCTCAATTTATCGTTAAAATTTAACTGTAGTTAGGTAAAGATTTGGTAGACGTTAAAATTTAACTAACCGTAGTTAGATAAAAATTTGGTAAAAAGGCATATAGCATGAAAGGCAAGTCAATTACCTTGAATTTTATTGTAAGATTACATTTATATAACGATTAATTATGGTAAAAAAAACTACCTTAAAAGATGAAAAGGGTTGGGCTAAGTTTGTTTGCAATTTTATGTTGTTTAGGTTGTATGCTCACAATCATTCAGTATCATTTAAAAGTATTTATAAAAATATACAAAATTTAAGATTATTTTTATTAATTTAACGGTTTACTTTTAACCCTAAGAAATCATTTGGACTCTAAATCAACCATCATTTTGTTGCTATTTTTCTATTTTCGACGTTGGTTTATTTGCCCAACCAAGTATGAAAATATGGTAAAGAAAAAAGGGTAATATTTTTCATAACGGCTCAAATTCATATTAATTTTTTTTAGGGTACTCATGGCTAACGACGCGGGTTTAGTGCAAAAATTTTAAATTCTTCAATGGTGAGATTTTCAATGAACTGTGAGACCTCTTTCATCTTTAACAACATTTTAAATGTCGAGACTTTTTTTCTTCTTCAACAACAAGCTAAGTCGAATGACGAGTTGTTGTTCTGATTGTCGGTATGTTATGTACGATAAGGCCGAGATTGTCTAGTCTATTGCAACGGTGGACTTCCGAGCTGTAGGTGTACCTAAACAAAGTATAAAATGATTATATATTGATATTTATGGGAATACATATATATGAGCTTAATAAACTATATAGTATAGCATTTGGAAGACAAAAAATGAAGATTTAATTACTACAACATAAAGGACGATGATTTAAGAATAATACCTGGAAATTCTTGTCTTTATATGAGAATGTATAATAAAATATGAAAAAATAATTCAAAAAAAAAAAAAAAAATTGAGAGGGTGATGACGTGGCGTGTGAGAATAATTATGAATATAATAAAATAGAAATGACAAGACTCCGTGAATTGCGGCGGAAGAAATTGGAATGTTCGAAGTCAAAATTTTGATTTGTCATTATTATAAAATAAAATCTCTATAATAATTAATATTATACTGAAGTCTATCTTAAACAATAGCATCATAAATGTATAAAAAAATTCAATTAATTTGGATAACTTAACTTAAATTATAAATGTCGGGTTGGTTAGATCTCTTTGTGTTTGAGCTCGGATGGATTTTTTGAAAAATCGAAAATTCGGTCAATGAGTTGACATTTTTTGATTGAGTCAACTCAACCATTACGACTACAACCCAACCTAATTCTATTTTTAAAATTATTATAAATATTAAAAATATTTGATGTTTGTAACCCATAGAATTTTATATTTGAGATTTTGTTAACCTTTAGATATATATGATTTTTTAAATAATTAAAAAAAATAGATCGACTATCCAACCTGATCCAACTCGAAAATAACGATTGAGTTGAGTTAGGTTATGAACTTTGTTCAGGTACAGGCGTGGATAGTTACTTGGCGAACAAGATAAGACAATAGTATGCAATGATTTTCATTTTAATAGTTGATAGGTGGTTTTTGTATATTTCGTGTTCAAAAACTATGTTATTTTTATTTTCTGGTTGAAAATTAAATGGGTAAGTCCATGTCTTCATTTGCAAATGTTTTATTTCAAATCTCTGCATATGTGAATTAAGACAAACGTGTAGTGACGTCTCTAATTTAGGCAAGAAAATTAGGGGGCGTTATACAACTACTTGCGTATGGCTCAATCGATCTCTCTACGCTCGGCTCAAACAATTCGGCTCGACTCTTGACTCAACTTGATTACTTATTCAGCTTGGTATAGGATATTTGCTACTGTTTCCTACATTTTCGACCATTCTAGAGTTGTTTTTGACCTTATTGGAGGCGTTTAAGCTCAATTAACCCCAAATTGCTCAAATTAAGATACCTTGTGGGTAATATAGGTAAAGATAAGACTCCCATATAGGTGACAGCGACATCGCGTTGAAGATCATAAAACATGTGTTATCAAGAGCAAAAAGACGATAAGTAAATATATAATTTCTTTTGTGCTTGGACAACAAAAAATCAAACAATGATAGAGCGATCCTTGATAGATTGATTGACGTACGAAGAACGCTTGACCGAAGAAATGAGTCACAAGATGAATTATCAACCCCAATGTCAGAGGAACGAGTAGTTAATTAAATAAAAAATATTTTATTATATATTTAGAGAACACAAAACATTTATTTGTTTACAAGCTTAATGAGTAAAAGAACAAAAAATAGTTGAATAGGCTACACTTTCATATCATTCCTCACAACATTACTAAAGTGTTTATTGTTTTGAATCACCTATTTTGGAAATTAAAGAACTTGATAGAGAACGCAAAGATGAACCCAAATAACACTGTAAACCCCACATGAACTGCTGCAACAATCCCCAAAAAGTCATGCTTGTACCCGAAGTAACTTCTCACAAACTCCGCCACGGTTTGGTTCGAGTCCATTCGGTCTTCTATGTCCCCAAATTGGGATGTCACCAACCCATAGAGTGTCCATGCCACAGGGCATATCCAATAGTACCATCTCCACCATATTGGGATTTTCTGATAAAAAATATGTTAGAACGTTACGTTCGATCGTTTCGAATGTGATATCAAAAGGAAAAGAAACGGACTCACCGTTCGAGGGATGATGAACCCGGAAAACAGGTTCCAAAAGCCATAGAAAGCAGATGAAACAATGGCAGCAATGTTGTGGTTAGGGGTTACAGCCACAGTCATCATCCCATAAAATGTGAAGTACAAAAGAGTGAAGTACATGAAGAAAATGTACCAAAAGAACTTAGCTGCAGTCCACTCAAATCCAATCATTCCATACACTATAACTCCATACACAATTGTTTGGATGAATATATATGGAAGTTCAATCACAACCTGCATCAAAAAAAAAAAAAAGGAAACTCAAATTCGTATATTCTTTTCTAAACCGAAAGGTTATTGTAAAACCCAAGTCCACCGCTAGCATATATTATCCTCTTTGAGCTTTTCCTTTCGAGTTTCCCTTCAAGGTTTTTAAAACGCATCTGCTAGGAGAAGGTTTCCACACCCTTATAAAGGGTGTTTTGTTCTCCACCCCAACCAATGTGGGACATCACAATCCACCCCCTTTGGGAACCAGCGTTCTTATTGGCACATTGCTTCATGTCTACTCCTCTTCGGGGAATAGCGAGAGGGCTGACACATCGTTGGGTGTTTGGCTTTGATACCATTTGTAACAGTCCAAGTCCACTCCTAACAGATATTGTCCTTTTTGGGCTTTCCCTATCGAGCTTTCCTTCAAGGTTTTTAAAACACGTATGCTAGGAGAAAGTTTCCACACCCTTATAAAGGGTGTTTTGTTCTCCTCCCCAACCAATGTGGGACATTATAGTTATCGATAGTTCATTTTAGTTACCTGTCCAAAAGCATATGGCAATGCTGAGTACATTCCTGCTGCTTTTTCTCTATAAAACACAGTTCTTTCAATGGCCACAACTGGTTGAACTGATGTGGCGTTTTGTACTCCAACGAATAGAACAGCAGTATACATGGAGCCCATGGCATTGAAAAGATCTTGCTGGGTGTCTCTGAAATAGCCAATATGATATCAATTTTTAAAGTTGAGTATCAGTTCATTAAGGGAATGTTTATGTGTTTCTTTTACCTCTTGGATCCAAGATCCCAGAAGATCGTTCCAAACATCAAGGCTATGATTGTTGTGAACAAGAATCTCACAGCACTGTATGATGGGTTTCTCCAATACGAAAGATGTTGTTTCCATAGGCAAGCAATGCATTGAACCACGAAAGATTGGGAGTATTTAGTGGGAAAATACAACTCTTTGGAGTTTTCACTTGGAACACTTAGTTGTTTGATCAAATCCTTGTTTCTCCTGCATAATTTTGTTTGTTCATACTTCAAATTCTTGCATTTTTTGTGTTAAGATCATAATGGTTGCCATTTACTTACCTAAAAAGCTCTGATTCTTTGTATAATGTGTTGAAGTTCACTCCAAGATTTGCTTCTTGAGATGCTGTGGTGACTTCAAGCATCCATGTTGCAGGGTTGTAGCCATCTTTGATCTTTGGAACTCCTTCAATTCTCTGTAATGAATTGTATGAAAGGCTTGTTAGATGTTTTTCGGCTTGAAAATGGAAGTTTTTATAGGATATGAAACGATACCTCGAAGTAGTCGATTAAATGGATCGAATGTCGACCAATGGGACCGACGTATATCTCTTCACCTCCACGTCTTAACAAGAAGAGCTAAAAGAGAACATGATCTGAAATGATCAGCTATTTGGAGTGTTGTGATTGAGAGAGTAGTTTATTATATTATACCTCGTCAAAAGCATCGAATATATCGATGCTTGGTTGGTGAATGGTGCAGACGACGGTTCGGCCTGTGTCGACCGTGTTCCTGACCGTTCTCATTACGATGGCTGCTGCTCGAGCATCAAGACCAGAGGTTGGTTCATCCATGAATATTATAGATGGATTTGCAACAAGTTCAACAGCTATGGTTAATCTCTTGCGTTGCTCAGTTGAAAGTCCATTGACTCCAGGCAATCCAACAATTGAATCTCTTATTGGGTTGAGCTCAATAAGATTCATAACTTCCTCAACAAACATCTGCAAATCATAAACAAAACAGGCTCTGCACATGATCAAATCAAAATTGGTGAGAAAAAAAGTGAAAAGGAATGTGTTGAACTTCACCTTTCTGGTAGCATTATCAACATTAGGAGGCAACCGCAACCACGCCGAGTAAACAAGTGATTCGTAGACCGTAACGTGCGGAGAATGTATATCAGTTTGTTCACAATATCCCGAAATCCGAGCAAATGTTTCTTGATTTTTAGGATACCCGGAAATGGTGATGTTTCCATCTATGTATCCACCAGTTTTTCTCCCAGCTAACACATCCATAAGAGTTGTTTTTCCAGCACCACTGATACCCATCAGGGCTGTTAGAACTCCGGGCCTAAACGAACCGCTCACACCCTTCAAAAGCTCGAGTCGGTCCTCAGTAACGCCTTGTGATTTCATTTCCTATGTATGACATTAGCACATCAGAGTGGTGTAAATAGTTGTTCATGTCTTAGAATATCATATCATATCATATCATGTCATATATATATACCTGTGGCATGTCTACTGCATATCGAATTTCGTCGAACGTGATCGTATGCGGTTCGAAAGGAAGAACCATTCCTCTCTTCTTGTTCCTATCAGCTTCATTAATGCTTCCAACTCTTGCAGATGATGTTCTTGATGATAAACTAACCTCATTCTCACTCCTCTCTGCATTATAAGTGCTATTTCCTTCTTGAACATCTTCAGATTTCTTCACACTTTTCTCAGTTGAGCTCTCTTTGGAGGACAGTACAGCCTGAGGCTTCCCAAAAGCTACAAAATTCAAACTCAAATATCATAATCAAGACATGTTTGAGTGCATAACAAGTCGAGCTTCGACTACTTACGATCGAGGTACTTCAACGCGATAGTGAAAAGAAAATTGAATAGCAAAATATATCCAATTGTAGCTGCAACCCCAATCCAATACCATCTAGCTTCTGGGAAGATCCCACGTGCTTTAAGGACCACAACTCCGAGTGATTCAGTCGAGTTCGGCGCCAACTGCAACAACAACAACGACGACAAAGACGAGAGTCAGTGCTATAGTTGTTAGTTTTGAGCATTTTGTTTGCATAAATCACTTACATGACTCCACTTATGGCCAAGAAACTCATTAACACCTATAGCATTTTGTGCATACATCATTGGAGAGATCCAGTAACCCCAAATCCACCAGGGATGAATGTTTTCTAAACACAAAGGGAAGCAAAGTTGTGTATATCAGTAATTTTTCTGATGAAATGGCATTGAAAACACATTGGTTACTGGAATCAAACCTCGAGATAAGATGAATCCACCCAAAACAAGAACTGTTAGTAAAGCAAATGATCCAAATGTATTTGAAACGATGAGATTTCGTCCTAACGACGCGATTAAACGAAATAGAGCCGACGCCATTTGGTTCACACACAACAGCAACAGAAACTGCTTGAAGAATCTGCAAGTTCATCATGTAGCCTAATGTTATCAAGCAGGTAATCATCAAATTTGGTGTTGAATGTTCTTCATTTTGCCTCACCTTTCGACGTTTGGATCGAATCCGATTACGTAGTAAGTCATTGCTACCCAAATTCCTACTTCAACAATTGAAATAGGGATCTTAAGAATCCATGTGGGAAGTGAATATGCCCAAGCCGGAAAGAACAGCAAGTCCCTTTGCTTGTAGAACACAGGAAGTTTCAGGATTGTCAAAGCTAGCTCAGAGAAACCATTGAACATGATTATCAAAATTGCAAAGAACATCGCCCCCATGTAAGCTAATCCGTCATCCGTCGTCCTCCGGTGCATTTCCGTTCGTAAAAACAACGTCATTGCCACGAAAGACATGATAATCAGCTGAAAAATGAACAAACATTGTGTCAAACATGTTCTTTCAGACATAGTGGATAAAGACATGAACTATGCAACTCATACTCACTTGAACTAACTTAAAAATGTACACAAATGAGTTCCTTTTCATCAGCAAAAACTCCCTTGAAATGCATGCTTTCAACAGTTCCTTCTTGCTAGCACCATATCTTTTTGTTGTTAAAGCAGCTGGATGACTTCTAGATTTGTCAAATGGAATAGCAAGTTCATCACCAAGCTTCTTCCCCACATGAAACGATTGAAATGCTTCAGAAAATTCTCCCACATCGATGAATCTATAAGGCTCATCTCTCTTAGCCCAATACTGTTCTTGATCTTTCCTTGAGGTCACCTATAAAACACTTTCCATCACAAAACCAAAACAGATCCATTCAAAAACAGGACAGCCAAACTCCAAATCAGCTTACTTCTTGTAAGAAATCCGCTACTCCTTTCCTCTGAGGGCAAGAGAATCCCATATGTTCGAAGAACTCGAGCACGTTTTCGCGTGGACCTTGATACACAACTTGTCCATCTGATATCAGAATTATATCATCAAACAGATCATAAGTTTCAGGGGCAGGTTGAAGAAGAGATATCAATGCAGTTCCATTCAGAATTTGAATGGATTGTCTCAATGAATTAACAATCTGGTACGTCGTTGAACTGTCCAATCCTGTCGATATCTCGTCCATGAACATAGCTCTAGCCGGTCCGACCAGCATCTCCCCGGTCGTTACCCTCTTCTTTTGCCCACCAGAGATGCCTCTAAACATTTCATCTCCCACCATTGTATCAGCACAGATTTCTAGTCCAAGAATCTGCATTGTTTTGTTTAAACAATCATAAGATTACACACAGACATTGTTTGATTATTATTACAACAAGTTTTCACCTTAAGAACATAATCTGTCACAACGTTGGTCTCTTGTCCTCCTAAAGCAGCCGCCTGCAAAATCCCAATGATATTAACACAAGACAAGCCAAACCCAAAATGGATATTGAATTTGAATATCAACCTTCATGATGATATCAAGATCTTGGTCAGGCTTAATGTTTGCAGCCTTTTCTCTCCTTGATAGCTCTGTTAACATATCTACAGAGAAAAAAATGTTGGGATTTACAATAACTTCATAAGAATTTCATGAACAAAACACTAACGGTGTTGTAAACTCACCATAACGTTGATCAACTCCTTGACATCTCGCTGAAAATGATAACGTTTCTCTTACAGTCATCTCTCCAATGTGAAGATCTTGTTGGCTAATGTAAGCTGACGTTCTTTGTGGAACAAACTCATTCATTCCATGTCCATTATAAGTAACTCTCCCAGAAACCTGTCAAATACACACAACCAACCACAATCAGCTCAAATTTAGAATCAAAATCTTTTGAGAGATGGGATTTTTCTGTCTTACTTTAAGATCATTCCCAAGTTTTCCGGATAATGCTCGAAGTAACGTCGTCTTGCCGGAGCTCGGCGGCCCCAAAAGAAGACTTATTCTGCAAATGTCATGGAATCAAAAGCTTAAGGTAATAGCATTTCATGATTGTTAATATCAAATCAATACCAATATCAATATCAATAACAACCTTCCTGGCTTGATGATTCCACTAACATCATGAAGAATTGATAGATGTTTCTTTCTATTTGGGATGATATGAAAGTAGCTCAGAAACCCCTTGAAAGAGAGTGAAAATATGAGAAGTTTTAGCCATAAAAAGCTGTAAGAACAAGGAAAGAAAGCTACCTCAAGCATGTTGAGAGAAAAGTTGAAAACGGTTGGTAAAGCTCTGTCGGCTGTATGAGCCTCTGCTTCAACATTCAAATGCTCAAATCGAACTTCAATGGCAGGAAGATCAAGCCCAACTCTACAAAACCCACCTTCCTATTCAACAAAACACCAAAAAAAAACATAACCCATTTCATAAACAAACAATACCTTTCCATTCGGTTCTTCAATTTGAGTAAGAATCTTTCATTATCTTCCTCAGCGATCTTGACAAGCCGTTCCAAGATGTTCCTCCGCTCCAACAAACCCAGATTTTGAACATCAATTTCTCTAGCAGATTCACCTTCAAGAGACAAAATCCCTCTCCTAACACGTAAATAAGTAGGAAGCCTTTCAATGGAAGCCCATTTAAGAGCTTCTTCATCATCTTCATCACGAGAAGATTTCGAAAACACATCCATGGCGCTGTTCCTCCATATAGTTGAGCTGTTCATACGCGTACTGCTCACTCTGTAAATCTCTCCATTGTCCATCTTCAACACTCTGTTTTAAAACCCTTGAAAAAAAACCAATCATAAAAACAGAGCAAACTCTGTTTCTCCTTCAAAGAAGGGAAAATGAAGAAAAAGTAGAGATTTTGAGAGAAATGTGAAGTGGGTTTGGTGTACTTATAGGTGTGGAAGAACAAGGAAAGAAAAAGATGAAATTTTGAATCATATTAGAAGAGAAAGAGAGAGAGTTGAATTAAAAAAAGTCCACATTCGGTGGCGCCATGAACATCATATGTGTAAACCCCTGGCTTGCGCTGCAAACATGATACGAAATGTGTAGACTAAAATGGAAAGACCCTCTTAAATCTAATCATTTTAATTTCAATCTAATAAAAGTTCTTAATTTACCAAACTTTTATTTATTTATTTATTTATTTTAAATATTTTTTTTTATAATTTCCATTTTCCTAATAAATCCAATAATATTTTGTATAGGCAAACCACTGGTAAGTCTCACCCGGTTCAAAGAATGTTTCTACTTTTAAAAGTAGACGAAGTTTGAGAAATTTTAAATTTTAAGAAATTTATCATTTTAAAACATTAAACGTCACCCTGACAAAAACGTAAATGTTATGGTAAGTGTAAGAGCAGTAAAAAAAAAATATAATAATAATTGTTGGATGATAAAAGTATCGCTAATTTAAGGAATGATCCTGAGTTTATAAACAAATAATATTATCTCCATTGGAATGAGACGTCTTGGTGAAGTCCAAAGCAAAGTCATGAGAGCTTATGCTAAAGTGAACAATATCATACCATTGTGGAGAATCGTGTTCGTCTAACATAGTATCAAAGTCATAACAATAACATTTACGGTAATCAGTCATTTTTTTGAAAAAATGACCAAAATTACTCTAAACAGAATTAAAAAAATTTATGGAGCAATAGAATATATTTATTTAAATTTTAAGGAATTTTCTTTTTTCAGGAATTAGACATAAAATACTATATTTATTTAACTTTTAAGGTATTAAAAAAAAAGAGAATATTTAAGGTTTTTATTTCATTATTTAAAATTATTATTATTATCTTATTTATGAAGCAACAGAGAATCATTATTTGCATGTGGAAATAAAGTCATTCTTAATGAACTTGTCTTTATTATTTCATTTTTTTAATGAAATAATTAAAATATATTAAATAACAGAATATTAATGTCATATTTAAAAAGTATTAACTAAATTGACATTCTTTTTATCTTATTTTATCCTTACAAATTCACCCAACTCCTTTACCCAAAAAAAAAAAAAAAAAAAAAAACATAAATTTTATTTTATTTTATTTATTTATTTATATATATTAACGTCCGTAGGTTTGACAATTATGGTATAAAAAAAACAAGATCCTAAAAAAACGACATAAATTAAAATTTTAAATTTTATAAATAAATATAAGTAATTATTTTACATAAATCACTTATAACAAATAGTTGATATATCTAGCTCAATAAGTTAGTGTTATTTTATAAATAATAATAATAATAATTTAAAAAAGAAGAGTCAACTACTTATTAAAAATATATATATATATTTTGATTATTCAATTTTTTAATTAAAGTATTTGTGTTTCAAAAGAATCTTCTTGGGGTTAAATTGGTAAAATCACATCTCTAGTTTGGATGCTTTTTTTTTAAAAAAAAAAATAATAAAAGATTGAAATTACTTGGTCAACTTTCTTAAATGCTATGAATCTTGTAAAGCCACGCTACAAATCCTATTTGTTTTTAACGGATTTGAATTCATCTATTTTTTAAAAATAAAATAAATACAAATTTTAAATTTACTGTCTATTTTATCCTTTAAACGGATAAATGTTTGAATTTCGACCCTAATTATTTTTTAATTTATTAAATTATTTTTTTGAAAATATGAAATTTAAAATAGAAAAATATATTATTTTAAAAAAGGTGTTATGAGCAAGCGTAAGGGCTTAAATATTTGCATTGATGACGAAGACTTTTAACCAAATTTCCTTATTTTAATAATTTCATTTGAAAATTTTAAGGAATTAATATTTAATTTAGAGTTTGGATTTGATTTTGTGTGTTAAAAGCACCGAATCCTTTGGCGTGAGCAATTCTAGAAGCCATGGATTTTAAAACCCAAATTATTTAATTAATTAATTATTATTATTTAAAATAAGAAAAATATATATATATATTGACGTCTGCGCTTACTTCATCTGTCTTTGACTTTCCACGTGGCAGCTCCTGATTTGACTTCATATTGAGCTGCTGTGTCTTGAGGTTCAATTGTTCCTTATTTTGGCTGCCTTCTTCTGCGCGATCAGCTTCACCAAATTAATTTGTTTAATATATTATTATTATTATTTTATTCTTTTTTATATAATGGCTGCTTCAAAATTGTTTATTTGATTTCCTTTTTTTAATTAATTATTTATTTATTTTGGATAATAATATTAATAGGAGGTTAGTCAATAAATATATATATATTTACCATTGACTTTTACTAAAATAATTTATCTTTTAAGTTGATTTTTGTTCATTACAAATAAGTTGATTTTTATATTTAATTACTACACTGTATAGTCACGTTATTTACTTCTTTCATTTCTAAAGAGGGAAGGCTATTCCCACCGATAATATTAATTCTTGTAACATATTTTGTCTTTACTCACATGTATCTTAACAAAATTCATATAAAGTTAGATAATATAAAAGTTCCTATGATTGAGGCACTGAAAAGTAAAGTGCATTATGTTAGTATAGATATTAACTTTGACTTATGAGATATTTTTTGCACGCATGAAAACCTGTAACAATACTCATCTCTGTGCTCGAGAATGTTTTGGAGCTCTGTAATGTAAAATTATTTATATGCGTGTATGAAAATTGTTCCAGTATTTTATGATTTGATTTTAAAGTATCTGGTCTGGTTTTGAACGATTTTGGATCTCTCGATTTTACTATACCTTTTTGTTTGGCGTGTGTATTATATTTAACCTAATTATGGAGGTTACTTATCGATGCATAACCAATTCAAAGATGGAGACGCACCGACGAGTTTCATATCTGCGAGTGTGTGTCTATTGCAGAATAGGGAATGGGGAAGATATTGGGTGATTGAAGGAGTTTTTTGAAGGGGCGTGGATGGTTTCTATTAAGAGATTTTTACGCAATATTTTTTTTAATAACCTAACTACAGTTACAATATGATTTAAGAACTCGACCAGCTTATACCATAAAAGTTAGGTTGAGTTAAAAATATATATATTTTTTAATCCAATCCGACACGAATACGCCCTTAAAAATTAAGATGGGGTGTGTTGAATGATGAAAGTCCCACAGCGGTTAATTTAGGGAATGGTCATGATCTTATAATCTAAGAATACACTCTTCATTGGTATGAAGCTTTTTGGGGAAGCCCAAAGCAAAGCCATGAGAGCTTATGCTCAAAGTGGACAATATCATATCATTGTGAAAAGTCGTGTTCATCTAACATGGTATCAGAGCCATGCCCTAAACTTAGCCGTGCCAATAGATTGGCAAATCCTCGATTAAGGGGAGACGTGCTTTGTTCGAGGGGAGGTGTTGGATGATGAAAGTCCCACATCGGTGTTAATTTAGGGAATGGTCATGATCTTTAATTTAAGAATACACTCTTCATTGGTATGAGGCCTTTTGGGGAAGCCCAATCCCACATCGGTTAATTTAGGGAATGGTGCAAAACCTTTCTAACCTTACCATATTTTTAAAATATTGACGTGTTATTGTGCTTAGTCATCTTCAATTAAATTATTTTTAAAATATTGACGTGTTATTGTGCTCGAGTTAATTACAAAAAATAAAAAATATTCATTAATCTCTAACTATTACTCGCCACCTATTCTATTAAATTTTATTCGAACTAGTAACATTTTTTTTTTCATTTTACAGCATAAATATGGTAAAATTTAAATTGTTTGAAATTCTAATCCGTGAAATTCTAACTTTCAGAAAAGTTTATTAATTTCAAAGTTATTTTTCTTACTTTATTTACCTAATTAATTTGTGATTATCTTTTTTCATCTTTTTATCCTATAAATTTAATTTTTAAAATTTATTGCTGCTACCGATCCTTTATTTAATTATTTTTTAATTAAATAATGTTCCAATGGAGTTAGATTTAAATTAATATATATAAATTTTAACAATAATATTAAAATATTAAGCCTATTTTGATTATTATAATGATTCCTTGGATATTTATTTTGAAAAAGAAAATAATAATAATAAGTGGACTTTTCAACTACCACCACCCCACAAAATAGCAACCAATCATAAGATTCCACGTTTCAATTTAACCCTTAAATAATCTCAAAATTCCCATATTCCAAGCATAAAATTTTCATGATCTAATCAATTATATTTATGTCACACCTCACCTCTATACCTATAACATATAATAAACACTTTGGTCCAAACCTTTATACATTATAATAATCATTATTATTATTATAATAACCGAATATATTTTTATTAAATGTATAAAAAATTTATAATTTAGTATTTAAATTTATCATCATCGATTCATCCTTGAAATAGAGGCGGCTGAAAAGTACATTATTCATAGATTTTATTAGTAGTTATGATGATATAATGGAAGTCATCCAATTCGAACACGACAATATTTTTTTAATAAAAATTAATTATTATTATACTCAAAATTACATAAATATTATTATAGAAAATAAAATATTTAAGCACTTTTTTTCTTTTTAAAAAATATTTTTATCATATTCAAAACTTACCTTCTTTTTTTTTAATTAATTTATTTATTATTTAGAAAATACACATTTGATTAGACATCTATAAATCAAACCGTTTTTTCAATTATTAAATATTATTTTAATTTCTAATGTTTAATTTTTTTTTTACTCTAAAAAAAAACATTCTTTTTGTATAACTATTATTAAGCAACTTAAGCTTAATGTAACACCGCTAGTACATATTGTCTTCTCTAGACTTTTTTTTTCGGACTTCTTCAATGCTTTAAATCGTATCGACTAGGGAGAGATTTCCACACTCATATAAAAAATGTCTCACAGATATGGGATCTCACAATCCACCTCCTTCGGGGCCAGCGTCCTCACTGGTACACCAGACTGGGATTTCACACATGACTTCAGGTCACATTAGTCCGACATAAGATAAAGATTTAGACCAAAATTAAATGATCTTAAAAATCAAGGGTCAAATAGACATTTTGAAAATTTACGACCCTAAAACGTTCCATGACCAAAATAATAT